GAGCCAGCGTCCGTAGCAGTCCATCCTGATGGACGGCAGCCCATAGCCACGACCAGAGCTGTCCTCGGCTCCAGCGAGCCAAGATGGCGGCACTGGCAACCCACGTGGGCTGCGCACTACTGCGTATGAGGCCGGACGTCGCACGGAGGCGACGTAATAACGAAGTGGTTGTCCTCCTCTACTAGTAGGCTTAACAGATAATGCAATAAACATTATAACTAACTATTGAATGAGCACAAGAATATTCACAAGACGGCGCCAAATGTCTGGCCATGTGATGGGCTCCGGTGGCCAAATAACTAAATACCATCATAGCGAGAAATGATTTACCTAATCGCGCGGAAGTAACTTTAATCTTACGCTCTAACCTTACTTCCAGAGCTACGCTATAATGCTTAGCAGTTATGTAGTAGTCGTCACATAACAGTGTAACACGTACGGCGTCTACAATCAGCTGCGATGTGTAGGCTGACGCTGGCAGCCGGGCCGTTGCTAGCGCGACGTCACGTGTAGTTGCCGAGTTATGCACGGGCGTGAACCTTTAGGAATCGTGAAGGTCGACACACAACTCGCTCCGCGCCTCCAGACATTCTCCACCATCAATCCGCGAGGGATCGCCTCGCCATCCTTGACTGCCACCTGCGTACAGAGACGATGCGATGTGGCGCAAGCCGAATGCCAATCTAAGCTCGGCGTCGCTGTTGCGTCAGCGTCAGTTACTACCGCGCGGAATGAATTGATGGCAAGAACTCAAATTGGCTTGGCGTGCCTGCTGTAAACTGCGTCACGGAGAAACATCGCAAGATAGTCGCGTCAAGTATAGCGTCAAGTGATAGCGTCAGGCAGGGCTCAGGCCTCATCAAGCTGTTGATTACAGTTTGGCGTCCAGGGAACGTACCACATGCACCACTCCAATTATCAAGATCAAGATAATAATAAAACATGTGAAAATCTGCAGTAATCGGAAATATCGCTGCAATAGACCTCAGCCATGACGTCATAAAGCCATAACTGCGCTACATACAACGCTAGATTCTGCTAGTGAATGAAGAGTCGGGGTTCCAATAACATAATACGCCCCATAACTTACTATTCAATATAATATATATATAATCACTTAAGGTTCGGAAGGAAATACTGTGTTTTTGTAAGGGAAAGCAGACGGGTGGTTGGCGGTCCGCTAGGGGGCGCGCTCGGCCATCGGTTAAGTGCGCGCGTCAATAGTTGTGACATGTTGCTGCGTTTGTAGAGCTGATTGTCGTGACAGCGCAACATCATCCTATCATCGCCATGAAACAAATAGCGAGACGGGACGAGCGGCAGCCGGCAGGGCAGGCAGCAGCAGCGGCAGCAGCAGCGGCAGAGTCCAACCACGGCCACCACCACGGTTCGTTGTCTCCTCCCCCACCCTCGTTACCACGAAGTGTTCGAAATCTCCAAAAGCAATTCCATCTGATTCCGCTGGAAATTCGAGAGGAATATTTTCCCGAGGAAGAAAAAACGCGCGTGTGTATCGCTCGAGTTCGTATTAAAGCATTTGTAGAGATATAGGAGATATAGAGAGGAGAGAGGGCGAGAGTGCGCGCGTGTGTGAGCGATTTTATTGGGAAGATACACAGCATGCCGTCTCCGTTACAATTTATATACACGCAGTGCATTACAGAGTTTTATACGGGAACCACTCGAGGGGAGGGTGGTTTATCGGACGGGACAGTTGTACTAGATAAGGGAGAAGGATAGAGTATAGAAATGCTATATACGGTATTCTCTGCCTAACTCGACTCGCATCACGTGACGGGCAGTGAGTGACGTCACGAGTGGTATTTCCATAAATGGCAGCAGCGGTAATTTTGTTTCCTGTTTTCAGCGCAGCAACTATAAAACTCATCGTCAGAAAAGCAGAGAGTGAAGCTAAAATGAGAATAGCCGCGCTCTAAAGAATTCTCTACGTCACATCATTGTGACACCTTTCATTTATTTCCGTTATCTTTCACGTTAACATTTGATCTTTACCGTAGATGTTTAACCCTTTGCCTTTACCGTAACTCGTTTTCCGTGATCCCTCGGTTTTACACGTAAAACGTTGGATTACTCGGCGATTTCGGTAAATGCTTGCCTGCTAGGAAATAATCTTATCAGAAAACAGTGATCGTTCCGTAAAGGTCGTGGAGCCATTACCTCTTATAACGAGATTTCCCCTTTTATCGTTTCGTTCTACGCCGCTAGAGAAAAACATCGCTGGAGAGCCAAGCGATCACCACATGACCTTGCGTAACAGCTCCCACGTACATTGTCCGCGCATGCGCACACCTACTGCGACCGCAGCGCCCCGAGGCGGGTAACACGTGATTGCGGATTTGGAACAGGCTGATGTCGTCATCAGTGTAATTATCAAACTTTGTCGTCTGTGCCGTTGCTAAGCTACCAGTGCAGCCGCTCTCACACGAATAGATTTACGAGATGGGTTTAGATACCGGGGTTTTGCCGGGGGCAATTGTGACCGTTCACCGGTGCAGTTCAACGGACGACCAATACGCCTGGTGACCGGTAATGACGTTTGCTCGCCGACAGAGCAGGCTGTGTGTGTGTGTGTGTGTGTGTGTGTGTGTGTGTGTGTGTGTGTATGTGCGTGTGTGTGTGCATGTGCGTGTGTGTGCGTGCGTGTGCACGTGCGTGTGAGCGCGGGAGACAGCGGGCGGAGATGAGACTGGATGTTTCGTCTGCGCCGTCACTGATTCCCGCCTGCCGCCGCCTCGCTGGCCCGCCGGCGTTCATTCAGCACGAGTAAAGAGTTAGTCGTTAGTGTTTCGTGCTAGATCTGCGACTATCGAAGCTGTTAGAGTGGCGTGTTAATGAAATGGTCTGTTGGCAGAATTGAAAAGATGGCGGCCTTTAAAAGCTTCTGCTGTGATGAATTATAGCATCGGGCTTCAGCCGTAAATTCTCGCACGTGGCGTGACGTCATGGTGGCGGCGATAAGGACGGAGGTCGGAGATTCGGAACTTAATAGCTTTAACGGTTAATCATCATCATTAAGATAATTATGTCTGCTTGTGTGGCATAGTAAAGTAGTATGTAATAAATTGTCATCAGGGTACATTATTACCCCCCCACAACATTACCAACACTAACCACCTTAACCCGCCAACCCTATACCTCGGGTGTATTATCATGCGATATGTCAGTCTTCGTTACTTTTGTTGGTTACGTAACAGTCGTACTTGGTCAGTGCGAATCTGAGGTTCGTGGTTTCAGCGCTGGCCAATAACGATACACATACGTGCATAACCTTAAGCAAAATTCTTACCCTAAACCTATCCTCATCCCTAACTCTAACCCTGACCCTAACCCTAACCCTGACCCTAACCAAATCCCTAATTCTAACCCTAACCCTAACCATATCCCTAACTCTAATCGTGAAATATTTTTTTCAAAAAAATGATCTACAATGTTTATTTTTGATCGGTATAAGCAAAAATGTCTTAATTCAATTAAAACACCTGCTTAACAATTGAATGATTATAAGAAGTGTCGGCATATAATATCATGCAATGATATTAGTTTTCAGCCCTTATTTTAGACATTCTCAGGAAATTTTAATCGCATGATATCTCGATTTATAATGGTCATAAAATATTCATTTTTCAACCAATTTTTAATATCAATATAACAATAGAAAGCTATGAATCTCAGGTATCTGAATATGTATTCAACCTAAAATGTCAAGTGACTCATTTTTCGCTATCACCGGTCACAAATGAGCTCTCCAAGGGCAGAATACGCGCACGTCTCTCCTTCCTTGTCTCTAGACTCACGAATCCGTTTGCTTCGTGACTGTCACACGGATGAGATAACTAGCAGTAATATCTTTGCGCTATGAGCGACAGACGACCCTCACCCTTGTCTCCGGTGACAGACGACGAGAGACGGGAGTGACGCACGCGTTGTTAGGCAGACGACCTGCGCGTGACGTCAGCAAAACATCATCCGGACGTGAGCTCGCTCTCACGTCCGCGACTGATGCGATATGGCCGCACGCACGCACGCACGCACGCACGCGACGCGCGCCGCACGCACGCACGCACGCACCACGCACGTCGGGAGCACGCAACGCAGGCATTCACGCGCCGCCCGCACGCACGCACGCACGCACCACGCAGCACGCACGCACGCCCGCACGCGCGCCGCACGCACACACGCACGCCACGCACGAACGCACGCACACCCGCACGCACGCCGCACGCACGCACGCAGGCACTCACGCGCGCAACAACGCACGCACGCCCACGCACGAACGCACGCAGCCACGCACACACACGCACACGCTCGCACGTACCTAGGCTCGTACGCACGCACGGCAGGCACTCACGCACTCATACAAGCACGCAGGCCCGGAAGGAACAACGAATGACCTCACCGGATTGTGATTGGTGGATCGCCGCTGCTGACGCCACAGAACGCCAGCGCCCTCTTTCCTTGACTCAGTCTCTGGAAACTCGAACGGGTCGATGCTAGGCGGCACTGCAAACACATAGTCATCATGTACACAGCGACGTCGACACCAGTGGGCGAACGTCCGCCAATGATAAGATTGAGTTAACGAAATGAACCGAAGCGTCGGCAGAGATGCTGTAGCTTCACGCTGCAGAGTGAGACTAACTGCACACGTTGCTTATGCCACCTAGTAGACTGAGTGAATTAGCCACGCGTATGCACATGCACGCACGCGCAACCCCATGGATATTACAATTGGTGCACCTTTAACATGATAGATGTAAATTGTGTTAATAGATTATATAAATATATATATAGGAGATATAATTATGCACCTTTAACATGATAGATTGAATTGTGTTAATAGATTATATATATATATAGGAGATATAATTATGCACGTTTTATGTAATAGACGTATATATCTACCTTTGACGGTGACAACAACACGGCTGCGTGTCCCCTGTCCTGCGGATTCCTGGCTATGCAGGTGTACTCCCCCTCATCCACATCCTCCACCACACTCTCACCACCACCAGCATCCCATCGGCTGACGGATGCTGCCTGTGATTGTCGGCAACCGCGCTCCCCCTGAAACCAACCAATGAGCGTCAGCGAAATCTGAAGCAGGGGGTTTGGGTTTGGTTGGGCGGGGTTATCTTTTGGTTGGCTGGGGTTGTATTTTGGCGGGCGGGGTTGTATTTTTTGGTGGGCGGGGGTAGTTTTTTCGTTGTCGCACTGTCAGTGACCATACATGCGCATCGTCTTGAATACGCGCGTCCTTTGTAACGCTGTTAGCAACGCACGACAAGCATTAGTGGAAAATGCCGCTTTTTAACGCAAACACAGCAGAATATTACGTAGCGGATCGCGTGACGTCACTCCGCTCATCGTTTGTATCGAAATCGCGCGGACTCTATCCACTCTTTAGCGACATTCGCGTGAAAATCGGAGTTGAAATGAGAGCCGGGTGACAATTATAATAGATCACGTGTGTTTGCGTGTTGCGCTAGCGATACGTGGCTGTGTGGGATAACATAGCATGGGGTTTTGCTGTGATATTAGGATGTGTGGAGAAGGCTGCTCCCCATCGCAGGCCACGCGTAACGCGAACGGTTGAGTAAACCATCTCAAAGCATGATTAATAACGTTACGTGTGTGTGCGTGTGTGTGTGTGTGTGTGTGCGGCGTGCGTGCGTGCGTGCTTGCTGGTGTGTGTGTGTGTGTGGGCGCGCGCGCGCGTGTGGTGTGCGCGCGGTATGTGTGTGTGCGCGTGGTGTGGCGTGTGTGTGGGGGGTGTGGGTTGTGCGCGGCGGTGTGTTTGTGTGTGCGTGTGTGTGTGCTGTGCTGTGTGTGTGTGGATGTGTTGTGTGTGTGTGTGTCTGTGTCGTGTGTGTGTGTGGTGTGTGTGTGGTGTGTGTGTGCGTCTGTGTTGTGTTGTGGTGCTGTGTGTGTGTGTGTGTGTGTGTGTGTGTGGGTGTGTGCGCATGTGTGTGCGCTGGTGAGGATAAGGACTCATGTGTGTGTCTGCTTGAGAGAGAGAACGCCTCTTGCAAGTGCTGGTAGAGGAAATCGTGCATTAGAAGAAGAAATGAACTCGAGTAGAGAACATGAGGGGGCGGTCCACGCACGGTGAGTTAGAGGAAGAAAAGGGGAGGGGGGTAGGAGGAATCCTCTTGTTAAAGCGCGGAGTTGATGTGTGCTCTAGGAGCGGTTCACCCGTGTAATGGTGGGGTAGTGGGCGGCCACATCATCACGCTGCAAAGTGCACACGTTCTAGCAAGCAACAACTATAATATAACCCGCGCTAAAATCTCGCCTTTCAACTTTACGGAGCAGTTAACTGCGCTAGAGAGACAGACAGCATAGCTGCGTGATATTGTAGAGGAGAGAGATTCGTTCCCCGAGGCGTCAGACAAAGCACTGCAATCAGCCGCGGCAAAAGTAGCGACGGTGACGAGCGCCATCTGATTACGAACTACAAGCATGGCCGTCAGAAAGAATGATGAGGCAGGGGAAAAGAATCACAGATGAACGCTTCGCTTCTCTCCGCGAATGAGTGAGAATATTGCGCGCGCGTGTGTGTGTGCGTGTGTGTGTGTGTGTGTGTTGTGTGTGGTGTGTGGCTGTGTGTGTGTGTGTGTGTTTGTGTGTGTGTGTGTGTGTGTTTGTTTGTACACTTGTGTTTGCGCGCGGTGTGCGTGTTTGTCTTTGCATTTGTTTTTGCATGTGTATGATTGTGTGTATATGCCTCTCTCTCTCTCTCTCTCTCTCTCTCTCTCTCTCTCTCTCTCTCTCTCTCTCTCTCTCCTCGCCTGTGTGGGCTCGTGCGTTTGGTAATAGTTAGTTATAGAGGATAGGCACAGCAGCGGAACGGCGTGTTAAACCACTGAAGAGCCACTCACTACGAAAAGCTATTAAACCCGGCTAGAGCCGGGGATGTGTGACAGCGACCACGCCGACACGAGCGCCGAGTCACGTGACCGGCAGACAGAAACCAACGTTAGTACGAAAACTCATTAACAAAAAATGTTTAACTCGACCACGTCAACGCATGATGACAGAAAGATAGACAGAGAGAGAGACAGCGAAAGAGAAAGAGAGATAGAGAGAGAGAGAGAGAGAGAGAGAGAGACGAGAGAATAGAGAGAGAGAAAGAGAAAAAGGGAAGGAATGAGAAAATCAAAGGAGAAAGTGTGAGCGTGAAAGAAGCAGTGAGAAGGTGTGATAAGACGGACCGATGGTGAGTGAGAGAAAGAACAGGGAAGGAGAGAGATTAGAGAGATGGGAGCTTCTTGGATTTATCAGAGCAAGCTTCGCGTTACCTATAGCAACGAAAGACCACGTGGCTGCTCTACAGACGAACACATACCGCATGAGACATCTCAAAGGAAAAAGACATCGCTTCTATTCAAACATTCGACTGTCAGGCAACAGCGCCCTCTTTATGCGACTCATCGCCGCCAGGTGTCGACTCGATCGCCTACCTTTTTCCCACGTGACAGATTCAATCGGATGTCCGCTCACGTGACACTTGATCGTCAGGTTCTTATTGGCCACCGCCGTGATGTCGGGCATCGGGCGAATGAATGGCGGACCTATAGATCGAGAAAAGATTTAAAAAAACGAATAAAGATAAAAGAAATAAATGCTGATAAGAGATGAAGACTGCTTGCAATAAAAGCAAAGCCGCGTTACGCGTAAAAAATAACGGGAAACGATTTTCGTAATTGCTTATTTCTCGTCGCAGCGATTAAGCTCAGCTAGTAACGGTCTCCTCTCCTTCCTCTCTCCCCTTCCTCTCTCACCCTCTCTCTCCCTCTCTCTCTCTCTCTCTCTCTCTCTCTCTCTCTCTGTCTCTCTCTCTCTCTCTCTGCCCTACTCTATCTATCTCTCTCTCCCTCTCTCTCTCTCTTTCTGCCCTACTCTATCTCTCTCTCCTCTCTCTCTCTCTCTCTCTCTCTCCCTCTCACCCTCTCTCTCCCTCTCCTCCCTCTCCTCTCTCTCTCTCTCTCTTTCTGCCCTACTGTATCTCTCTCTCTCTCCCTCTTTCTGTTCTCTCTCCCTCTGTCTCTCTCTCTTTCTGCCCTACTCTATCTTTCTCTTTCTTTCTGTCTCTCTATCTCTCTTCTCTCTCTTTCTGCCCTACTCTATCTCTATCTCTCTTTCTGTCTCTCTCTCCCTCTCTCCCCCTCTCCCTCCCCTCCTCCTCTCTCTCACTAATCGCCTCTTGTCTCTGAGAGCGTGACCAGTCACCGCGTGCCCTGCTGATTAACGCACAGCCGGCCCACATAATGCAGCAACACGGCGCAGGGAAAAGAAGCTAAACACCTCTCATCCTCCGCCTCCCCTCTTTTTTCTCTTCCTCCCTTCTTATTCTACTCTCGCTCTCCCTCTCCTCGTTCTCCCTCCCCTCCTCAATTCTCCAGCCTTCCTTTCTTCATACTCCTCCCCCTCTTTCTCCTCATCTCCTCCTCCCCTCCTCATTCTTCCCCTCCCTCTCCTCATTCTCCCCCTCTCCCTCCTCATTCTCCCCTCTCCCTCCTCATTTCCCTCTGCCCCTCCTCATTCTCCTCCTCCCCCTCTCATTCTCGCCCTCCTCATTATCCCCCTTCCTCTCCTCATTCTCCTCTCCCCCTCCTCATTCTCCCTCTCCCTCCTCATTCTCTCTGCTCCCCTCCACATTCTCCCCCTCTCTCCTCCTCATTCTCCCCCTGCCCCTCCTCATTCTCCCCCTCTCCCCTCCTCATTCTCCCCCTCCCCCCTCCATTCCCCCCTCCCCCCTCCCTCATTCTCCCCCCTCTCCCTCCTCATTCTCTCCCTCTCCCCTCCTCATTCTCTCCCTCTCCCCTCCTCATTCTCCCCCTCTCCCTCCTCATTCTCCTCCTCCCCCTCTCCATTCTCCCCTCCCCCCTCATTATCCCCCTCCTCTCCTCATTCTCGCCCCTCTCCCTTCTCATCTCCTCATCCTCCTCTTCATCCTATCTTGCAGTGAATCTAGATCGCCAACGATTAAATTAAGAGCCTTTTCCAATTTTTCTCCGCGCGCGCGCTATAAAAAAAGAAGATGCCGCCGCGTCTCTCGCATGCGAACAAACGCCGCGGCCCTGCTTTGTTTCTTAAGAGAATTAAAATATAGCCGGAGACCGTGGCGATAATTACGCGTCCAATTACGGCATCGTCGGGAGCTGCCGTAATCACGTTAGCCGTATCGAAAGATAACGAGTTGATTTATGAAACGCTCGTTCGCGCCCCTTGAGTCGGAATGCCGCTTACGTCGTAATGAAGGGCCGGCGGCCGACGAGCGGTGCGTCGGCGGAAGACGCGGAAGAGCGATTTTTCGATGGCAGGCTGAGTTGCTGCGCGCGAACATATACGAGAATATACGAGCGCGCGTATACACACATGGCTACATCCATGCGCGGAGTCCGGGCTACCGGAGTACTGATTGTTTTTCTCCTATTGAGCAAGGGCGCCTTACTGGCGATGACAGAGCGGCGGTCATGGACAGTCGGCATGGGAAACCCGCCATAAAATACAGGAGGATGTGTCTTCGTGTATTACGAAAACGCAATCCCTCCCAGCGCCAGGATCGTAACATGGAATTTGGTTAGGCTATGTTTTCGTTCATCAAAATATATAGAGATGACTGTGACACAATCCCGATTTCACATTGCAGAACATTTGTAGAGATGATTGATGGCGAACATTATGCAGATGATTTTTATTATCGCGAACAAAAACTACACGGGAGAGTTCATCTCATATATTTCTTAGAAAGTATCGTGCAATTACCACTCGAAATCTGCTAGCCGCTTACAATCACATCTGTAACGACGGATTTCTTCTGGCAGAGAACAACCTTCCGTTACAACTAAGAGAACCCTCAGTTAGAAACATAAGAATCCTCTGTTAAAAACGCCGTCCTTGTCACGGAGAAGGGAATAAGTTGGCGAGAGGACGCGAATGGCAGAGGTTGCATTATTGCATGGATCCGCCTACAATCATTTATGGCAGATAAATATCCCGCCACCCGCACCCGCCAACCCGCAACCCGCAGCACGCCCCGACCCGCCAACCCGCACGCCGCACACGCGCCCGCACCCCGCGCCCCGCACCGCCACGGCCGCACCCGCACCCGCACACGCACACGCACACGCACCCGCACGACGCACCGCGCTTCGCTCAGGCTCACGGGATGACACGCCTTGTTTATTGCTCTCTCGCCCGGTCTCGCCCAGCGCTGCTTACGAACACGTTCCGACGCGAGTGCACCATGTGCTCGCGGCCGCCATGTTGCGGTTTCTCGCCGTGTACACGGCCAAAGCGCCACCATCCTCCACGCGGTACGTTGCTCCTGTTCAGATAACTAACGGACGTCTCCGTTGTCGAGCCGGTAGGTCGTGATGGTCCGCCGCGTCGGAGCCCGTGATCGGGAGGTAAATGAGTGTCCAGAGCATCTGCGGGCGGCGGTTGCCGGACGCTTGCACTGCAGGAGTAACGGCCGACCACGGTAGATGGTCAGCTCTCCAAAACGCGGACGTGATGGGCGGCTGCAGCTATCAGGCAGAGAGAGAGAGAGTGTTGAGTGCGCATCGCGCGAGGCGAGCGCTGAGAATAATGTAGGATGTAACGCGGTTTGATGAAATCATCACTAGTTTCTTATCGACAGACCGACGACGAACCCGACGACCGACCGACCGACCGACACGACGACGACCACGACGCCGACGACCGACCGACGCCGAGCGACCGCAATTTCGACGACCGACCGCCCGACCGCCGACCGGACCGACCGACCGACCGAACCGAACACGCGACGACAGACACCCGAACACGACCGAGACACCTAACCGACCGACCGACGACCCGACCGGACCGACCGAA